CAATTATCTTCTCATATTTAGAAAGTTGCCTTTTTAACAATGGTTTCTTTCACGGTGCCTTTAAATTATTTTTTGTGCGGCCCCATTTACTTTTGATTTAAAACGTTTTTTTTTTTTTTACTCTTCCCTTTCCCCTTCTCTTCCCTTCCTTGTTTTCAGTGTTGTAACGACGGTTTGTGGTTGCTGGCATACATGGCCTTAGCGCTCATCAAAGTTTGTACTCCTGTAGCTTGCACCGTGTTTTTTTTTTTTGGATTTTCACTCTTTAGTGTGGTACACACTTTAGTTGTGCCACACACAAGAAATAACAAAGGAACAACTAAAAAATAAATTCTTAGGCAAAAAATGGTTACCAGAGTTGGAAAAGGAGTTGGAGAAGGTTTGATGCATAAAGAAAATCAATCGTATTGTGGTAGAAACTTGTAATGGTGATTATAATGCCGCCAGATTGTAACGCCATGTGTTGGAAACCTGTACAACTTTTAAAACCAATATTCTTCAGCCTTTTTATAGCTGCCAATGCTGTCTGCCCTGCATACCGATCCACGGACTGTCAATTAATTACCAAGAGGGAGAATCAGTAGTTTGGAACCTTTCTACACCTGCAGACTGGCACTGGTCCTTTGACCAGTAGTTGAAGAGAACAGTTTTAACTAATGTTTTACATTAGTTTTAAACTAATGTTACTACAATAATAAAAAAAGAGCTTTAAAGGCAGTTAGGAATTCTAATAGGAAAAAAGCTTCCAAAGTACGTGTAGTTGTATGTTGCGACCCTTCTAAATGAGGAATGAGGTAAACCCTCATCTTTAATGATTTGAAATTGTTAATCAAGAAGTAGTATAAAGCGTAAAAATGTAAGTCATGGACACAGTTTTTCCAGGGAACAGGAGGTGGAGAATGGGGCAATAATTGCTCCCCCCTTCACTCATTTTTAACTATCTGCATATATTTGGGATGTAGACTTGTTGAATCCATTCTGAGATTCACAGAAGAATTGCAGGTAATTTTGTTGTTTGAATTCTTACTTTCCATCAAATGTTGTAAAGAGTTACTTTTGATATGCGCACATAAAAAGAAACAATACTTACTAAACCTTATCTTAAATTTTGATTGGGCTAAAAATAGAAGGTTCTTCACAAGGAATATTACTAATAATTTACTGAGCATTTTATAAGAAGTGTCAGTATAATTGTTGATATTTACTGGGTGTTTATGTGTGAGCATTATTGAATTATGGTTCACAGTTTTCTAAGGTATTATATCATTTCCATTTTATAGATAAACTTATAATGAGATTTTAATTCAAATTGAGAAATTTGGTGACTTTTCCAATTTCTATGGCTAACAAGTGGTAGAATCAACATGATTATTCTAATCCGTATTTTTTGTTGTTGTTAAATGTATATTTTCTTTCATGATGATAGAGTGAAAGATTCAGACTGGTTCTTAATTTTTTTGGTGATGTCGATCAAATTCAGGCCTCACATATACAAGGCAAGTGCTCTTATCACTGAGCTACATCCCTGCCCCTTGTTTTATGAGTTTTTAAGTATTGGTGCTTGTTCTGCTGATTTCAGGAACCACTAGCTACTTGTAAGAGACTAAGAATGCTAGGTATTAATTCAGCAGAAGTAAAAACAAATGTTATAACATCCATTTCACATGTGGCATTTTTATTCCAAATGTTTAAAGAAATCATTCTAATTATAAAATAATTCAATTTCATTTCACTAGTGAAGACAAATAAATATATTGAGAGAATCATCTAAAATTTATTTTGGCGCACATAAATTATTTTGCTATACACATATCCCAAGTTTATTATTTTTTTCTTTTTCTTTTTTTCTCTTTTTTTCTTTTGCTGTGTTAAAGGTTGTTTTATGAGGAATATTTTAGATACGTAAATAGATACTAGACTGATGAACTTTAAAGTCTCCAGCATTCAGTTTACACAGCTATTAACTCAGTACCAATTTTATTTCTGCTTATTTTTGTTTTTATATTGGTTCACACCCAGAAGTGCTCAGGACTTCCTCCTGGCTCTGTTCTCAGGGATCACTCCTGGTGGGGCTGTTGTACTGTCATTTCAGCCCCCAAAAAGATTTTTTAAAATGGGAATAATATAGAAATAATAAAACATTTACCTTCAAGTGTGTGTCATTAAAAAATTGACATATATATGCAGTGTGTGTGTTTATATATAATATAAATAATACGTTATTTATATATATAAACTCACCACAATACGTTTACTTCTTTAACTCTACTGGAGGGAGTATATAGATAAGAGTCCTTATTCCTTTAATATCTTCATAGCACTAAACTAAATTGTGTGGATGTTAATTGTCTGTTTATTGCCTAAGTTGCCCACACCATCTTGATGTTTGGGTTGATTGGTTGAGACTTTCACCACTTCCGTAGTGCTGTAATAAATGCTAGTAGTATTGCCTTTTGTGTCTTTTCCCCTGTGTTGTTATAACATTCGTTTCACATGTGGCATTCTAATTATAAAAGTAATTAAATTTCATTTCACTAGTGAATACAAATAAAGATATTGAGAGAGTCCTCTAAAATTTGTTGTGACGCACCTGAACTATTTTGCTATACACATGTCCCTTTGCAATCTCTTTTTAATTTTTATGGTCAGCTAGGAAGAATGCTTCTATTTGTAGTATTTTTGCAATGAATGGACGTTGAGCTCATAATGTATCAGTTTGAACTTTTTCTTGGACTATAATGGACAATTTAGTCTTATCATAGTCTTCCTTATGTAACAGGACATACAAAGCAACCTTTTACTACCGGTATTGCAAACCATAATGCCCAAGAGGAGGGAGGGCTGGAAAGAGAGGGGGTGAGGGAAGGAGGGAGGGAGAGAGGAAGGAGAGAGAGCAGAGGGAGGATGAGGGAGAGGGACAGGGAGAGTGTGGGGGGGAGCAAGAGAGGAGGGGAGAGGAGAGAGGCAGGCTTGGGGGGTTGTAGGAGGGAAGCTGGGGAGATTGGTGGTGGGAAATGTTCTCTGGCCAAGGGACCTGTGTTGGAACATTGTATGGATGAAAGTCAATTATGAACAACTTTGTAGCTGTGGAACTCATGGTGATTCAGATCCTCCCCCCACCCCCACCCCCCAGTGATTCCTGGTGAACGCTTATGATGACTGCAGGACATTATGCAGTATTTATTTTTACAGTTCTCTGCAACAGAATTTGGTTACTTCCTTTAAAACTTACTGCATTTGGGGCTGGAGAGAGAGTACAGTGCAGTGCGTAGGGTGCCTGACAACCTGCATCCTATCCCTGACAACCAATGATAGCCCAGCGGCACCAGGAGTGATCTTTGAGTGCAGACAAGATTAAGCCCTGAATACTCCTGGGTGTGGTCCAAAAAAAACACCCCAAAATTACTGCATTAAACATTCATGAATACATTTTTATTTTAATCTTTAGGAATCACTTTCTTGGCATCAGGGTTTGGATCACAGGTTAAAAGCATAACTTAAGTTTTGACAAACTTGCAGGCTATCGAATCATAGGTTAAAAGCATAACTTAAGTTTGGACAAACTTGCAGGCTATCGAATGTAGCCTGCCCACAGGGCAGAGTCTGGCAAACTCCCCGTGGCCTACCAAATATGCCAAATACCAGTAACAATGATGGGTCTCATTCTCCTAAAGAGCCGTGAATATAATCTCAGGGCTAGGATGAAAGAGACGTTACTGGGGCCTGCTCGAGGCAATCGACGAATAACAGGATGATGAAATGAAAATGAAATTCTTATTGCGACATCTTATTATGATATCTTATTATTCCTACTTTGGACACACTGGCAGGCTACCGAATGTAACCTGCCCACACGGCAGAGTCTAGCAAACTCCCCGTGGCGTACCCAATATGCCAAATACCAGTAACAATGATGGGTCTCATTCTCCTAAAGAGCCTTGAATATAGCACTTTCTTAAAAATCTCAGGGACAGGATGAAGGAGACGTTACTGGGGCCTGCTCGAGGCAATCGACGAATGACAGGGTGGTCGTGATTCGTGATTCGTGAAGTTTTGATACATTTTGCCATCTTTTGTTCCCAAAGCTATGTGTTTTTTCTTGGTAGGGATTTTGGCAACCGTGATCATTATTTTAGAAGACTTTTGATGCTTCGACAAATTTAAAAATGGTATTTGAGGTTAAATTTTTTGTTTGGTTTTGAGGTTCAGAAGCCCCTTCTGCTGAGTGCTTTGGTGGGGATCAGAGGACCTCATGGAGCTGGGGACTGAACCCCGGCCTCCCACATGAAAAGCATGCGTTCCAGCTCACTGAACTATTTCTAGCCCCGGTGACAATGATTTTTTCAGGCCTATTATTTTTTGTTGTTATCTTTAAGTCATATGTTTTTCTCATTTAAATTTTAGCTTTTAGTTTTCTTAGGTTGGGTGTTATAAGCTTGGGTATAGTATAGTAACCATTTTTCTGTCATGTGTGCCCTATTTTCTAATTTTGTTAATCATTTTTGCATATTTTATATAGTATATTTTTCATTTTTCTTACTAGTATGGCTTGTTCTTTACTACCACTTCCTCTTCTCCCTCAAACACCAAACCAAAAAAATAAAAGCTTCGTAGTTTGATTATCATTCATCATTAAAAATCAGCATTTACAAATCTTAAGACTTGAGCTAAATTCAGTCAACAGTTATTCAGAAAAATTTCATGTTAGGTATTTTAATGTTACCTCTTTAGATCCTGGTAGTCTGCATATTTTTCCTCAAGCTACAATAAATATATGTGCCTATATCTATATATTATATCTGTATAATATATAGATAAACTAATTATGTATTATAATTAAGTTTTATTTTACTTATAATATTTTTTAATTGTAATTAACTGTAGAAATCTATTTCACAACTATATGATGAGTTTCCCTCCCCCCTTTTTTAATTGTAGGGGGAAAAGTATCTTCTGGTTGCTAATGTGAATTGTGAACTACTGATACATAGAAAAAAAGAAATTCCACAGAATTTTATCATAAAGATCTGAAGTCTGTAAAGAGTGTTCTTCAGGTTTCTCATAATTTTCCTGAAGAAGAGAATCTGATATTATATGACTAGAGACCATTTTTTATAACAATGGGGGAAACAGCAAGAAATTCAGATTCTGATCAAGACTGTAAGTCAGATAAACATCAGGACTATTACTATTCATCTGAATTCGAATCTACTCTGCCAAAGTCTTCTGACCAGTCATCACTGGTCAATTGCTTTTCACCTGCAAGTATTAAAAGACATATTTCACGTAAACAAGTGCTTGTTCCCCAAGGTAAGCATTTAAAGAGTCCAGTAGATCTACGATGTTGAAAGAAAACTTGTATGAATGAAGCTGACCTATTACTGTAAATATTATATTTTTGTAAATGGGCTGAGTTACATTCTTAATAAGATAATTTTTTAATAATTTTTTTGTATAAATGTTACTTGTGATATATATGCTATTATTTGTTTTTCTAAGTCTACTTCGGAAAAGAAAACTCTATGGCTTTTTTTTGGGTTATTTTTGCTTTTTTGGGGGGGGGTTTGAGGTACTATACAGAAAAAAAATCAGAAAACATTTGTATATTATCTTCAACTTTTTAAAAGTAAAAACATCGATATTAAGTCGTTAAGTAACATAACATGGAATTACTATCCTTAGGAATGCTTACTACAAAGGTTTAAGTTAAAACTAAAAATGCAGTTTGGAACTTGGAACTGTCAATCTGTTTCTCTGAAACTGCTAAAATGGAAATAAAATTAATCATTAGAATTTTTTTCTTGTGAAACATTATATAGTATCTCAACTTCTATATTCATACATATTTGACTAGATAATGTTCCAAAAATTTCTCCAACTTAATAATTCCTTGGTCAAGAAAGACCAGTGTACTTACTTAGTCACGAAATCTGTATTGTCTACAAGTACACCATAGAAAAGTAAGTCAAGATCATTGAGATAATTGCAGTATGTGTCAAATGCATCATGGTTATAGCAGTAGCTTTCTAGTTTAGATTGTAAGGCAGATTGTGGCAGAATTGGGAGGTGGAAAGTGAAATAGTCCAGGTCACAAACCTCTTCAAATCCTATGCTTGGACATTGATTGTCTTTTTCAATGATTAGATCAGTCATTGAAAAGATTTGAACAAGTGATAATTCAGTTTGCTTTTCTAAATGTTTACTTTGCACAATAATATTTTAAAATCCACAGGAACATACATTCCTTATGAAAGCAGCCCTTTCAAGACCCCCTGATATGATTTCACAGAAATGACAACTCTTATGTCAAATTGTCTCTCCTCCTCTCTCCTTTCTCTTTCTCTCCTTCCCCTCCCCTTCCCTTTCTTTAAAAATCAAATCTTATTTACTGTGGACTTTTGATTTTGTGGTAGAGATCATAATATGATTTTGTGGTTGAGAGCAAATCTCTAAGAACAACAGACCTTGGCCTTGAACCTTAGAAAATCCCTTTTCATTTCCAGAAATAATTTATACACCTAGGAATTAGTGATGCTAATGCTTGATTTTCCCTTTTCCCTCTGAAGTTGTTTAGGTGACTAACCACTTAATGAGCCAGAACTTTTTAAGTTTTCCCTTTTTTGAGAAGATAATTGAACAAACAAACAAAAAAAAACTCTGAAAGACAGTTCCAGCTTCAGCCAGAATTTTTTGCCTTTTTGTACTGTTTTTTTTTTTGTTTTGCATTTCTCTTAAATTAGAATTTGCTAATTTGTCTGCCTTAGACCAACCAACAGGATAAAATCAATCCTGCTAAACTCAGATACAACTACTCAGTCTTTAAAATTGCACCTTGAAAGTGTGGTTCTCCCACTGCTCAAGGGCACCAACCTATTGAGAGATAAGGTGACCAGAAGAGACCTACCTTTTTCAGCAAGGGGACTCATGATCTAGAGAACTCAATTGCCTGTAAGGTGACAGGAAGCAGTTACATAGACAGGCGGGAGCAGAGAAGCAGAAAGGGAGGACAGTTTGTGGACTGTTGGGTGCCAGGGCGGTCAATACATTTCTTCTCTTGTCTGGTTCTCTGACGCATGGTCCTGTGGACTTAGAAATCTAAAGAAAGAATTCTAATTTAGAGTTTTGCTTACATTTTATCTTCTTTGTATAGGCCCTTTGGGGGAAGAACGCAATAAAGAAAACATCCTTTACATTCTCAGTAGTCCAATCCTGCAGGAGTTTGCTGTTTTTAATTTTGCATAGAATTCCCAATTTCTTTTGAGTCATTTTCACAATCACCAGTGTGACAAAACTTAAGAATAAATGTGGCTAAAACAGGATCTTGAATTTGCAGATATGAATTTGCTTTTCTAACTTTCAACATATTTTTAAAATGAAAGTTAGTATCAGAAGTTCTATGTATAGTGATAATATAGTTTCCATATATTTATATATTGCATGTTATACTTTTTATTTATTTGTAGTCTAAGCATTTGAGGTATTGGCAGATGCATTATTTTTTATTTTTTATTGTTTTGGTTGGGGTCCCACACCCAGTAGTGCTTAGGGCTTATGTTTTGAGTTTAGGTTAAGCATATTTTTAGTGATCAATTTATAGTAATACTAAGAGAATATTCTAAGCTTTTAGGATGATAAAAATTGATTGTTAGAGCCCTCTATTGAAACAAAATATTAAACTCCTTTTAACATAGATTTAAACTTTTTAAATAAAATGTTTCAATTTGTATAAAATCTTATTTACTAAATAGTTTTATACAGAAAAATCAGATTTGAAATGACTAGTAGTTATCTTTGTAATCACATTTACGTGTAGTTTCCATCATTCTAGGACATGACTGCATATTTTATAATAGCAAAGAGCTACCAGTATCTTAGTTATCTTAGAATGTTTTAAAAAAGAAATTGAAATTACGAATATTATAAATTAAAATAGGATCAGTGATGTTACAATATGTATGCCATACATATAATTTTATATTTGATAAAGGCATTAAAAAGAAGATAGATTGGGAATGGTATGAAATATAATTTCTTTTAAAATATGAAATTATTTTTTCTATAATTGCTTAATTCCACATACCCAAGATATTATTGCAGGGTAGCACTTCTTCACTATCCTTCCATGGTTCATCGATTTGCTCGAGCAGGCACCAGTAACGTCTCCATTGTGTTATTATTGTTTTTGGCATATTGAATATGTCACAGGGAACTTGCCATGCAGCCGGGATACTCAGTAGCTTGCCGGGTTCTCTGAGGGGTACGGAGGAATCAAATCCAGGTTAGCTGCGTGCAAGGCAAACACCCTACCGCTGTGCTATCTCTCCAGTCCAATTTTTGCAGTGTAGTCAATATAAAATGAGTGTGAAATATTCTGCATACTTTAAAAGATTATTTAAAAGCCGGAGTGCATTTCAGTTATGGCATACTTTAATTTAGACACCAAAACTGCAGATTTCTTAGTAGCCGTCTATGGGTAGGTGTGGGCTCTGCTAGGTGGCAAGGAACCAAAATTGCCACGCAGGTGTCTCTTCATTTACTTTTATTAGCACTTCCTTTTCTGTATTTAAACATTTATAGAACTGGACCTTGAATCAGTCCATAACCAGTAAATACACTTTGAAAGACACAATCTTTTAAGTGAAACTTCATTATGTTCAATTACAAATATGTTTTCTTATTTTAATTTGTGGCTGATGAGATCAATAGGTGAAAGTTGCATTTTCTAGTTTTTCCATTTTAAAAAAATTCAGGAATGCATTTCCTTCTTGAGAAAGTAGTCATCTGGGAGATTTAAAGTTTATTTTTCTCAATTGTGGCAGATTTCCAGATGCCTCTCTTAAAGTTCAGCTTCAATGTATATTGTGACTTAAGTTCAAGGAACTTTTAGAGAAAACTCAATTTTTAGTAAATGTTTATTGAAACATTTAGTAAATTTTTGAATCTTGAATATTGTAAATTAACATGTGTAGTGTGTACATTTTAATATATAGATATTATATGGCTTTTTTTTAAGAGGTAGAGTTCTAAAATATCTTGTTCTCAAATTAGATCAACTCACTTAGTGTTGCTTGGGTGACCATATATCTCAGGGGTTGAACTTCGGGGCTCCCACATGCCAAGCATGTATTCCAACCTTCAGAACCATCTCCCTAGCCCTGTCAAATGTTTTGTGGTTGTTTAAATATCAGACAAAATGTTCTGAGAAAACTCTCAGTATCATATCTATACTGCTAAAGTGGTTTTTATTTTTTATTAGTGATAAATGGCATATAATTTTTTTTACTGACAAATATTTATGAAAAATTTTGTGTTTTACATGCATACTTTACCACAACAACCTAGTTGTCTTTTCATGGGTTGTATATTCTCTGTATGAAGGATTGACTGGAAACATTTAGTTGAGTTACTCAAGGAGTTATTAAGTAACCCGTTTGAGACCTAAACCCAGATTTATCATCATATAATACATTGTCATCTGTTTTTTTTTTCAAATAGAGTTGTAGATTTGAGAAAAATATACATTTCTAAGTTTCAAATCGTGATACTTAGTATCTCGTACAAATGAACTTGAATAGTACAATGTTTTGTCTAGTGTTTATTGGGCACCATGTTCATGCTAGTGACATCCATGTTTGAATTTTGGCCTGCTGTCTCACATGTAGTTAAAAATAGTAAAGACTTACACGACAATATTTTATTTTATTTTTTTGCTTTTTGGGTCACACCCGGCAATGCTCAGGGGTTACTCCTGACTTTGCACTCAGGAATCACTCCTGACGGTGCTCAGGGGACCATATGGGATGCTGGGAATCGAACCTGGGTCGGGGGCGTGCAAGGCAAACGCCCTACCCGCTGTGCTATTGCTCCAGCCCTCCACAACGATATTTTAAAGCAGATAATTCCCTATTTAGCTCTTGAGACATAAATTTTAATCAGGATAATCTTGATCTTTCCCAGTCCCTTCCCAATAGAAACCTATTAAGGGCCACAGAGATAGTTCAGTAGTCTGAAGATCATGCTTTGCATGTATGTGCCCTACGTTTTATCCCTGGCATCTACATGGTTCCTTGAACACCACAGAGTGTGACGCCAAACCAACAACCAACCAACCAAACATATTACGAGCTTCAAACAAAAATAGATATTTTTCTAAATATTAAAAAAAATTTTGGGGTGGACCATGTTCAATAGGGTTCAAGGCCTACTTATGGCTCTGTGTTCAGAGATCACTCCTGCTAGGCTTGAGGGATTGAACTTGGGTCATACGCATGCAAGGCCTTACCTCGTATGCTATCTTTCTGGCCGATTCAAAATGTTAAAGGAACCAAATTTTACTAATTGACTTGAGTTAGGATGACTATTTAATACTATTTTGGTAAACATTTTTTTTTCAGTTTTCATCTAGGCACCAAGATTTACAATACTATTAACGATAGAGTTCTAAGTAGATGGTGTTTCAGTTTCAAGGGACAACTTTCATTTTACGTTATTACTCTTTTTTTTTTTTTCAGCCCCTAGGAAACCAAAACCTAAGGATGTACTCAACAGAAAGGGAGTTCGTGCGGGATTTCATTCCCAGAACCTCAGTAAAGAGCAACTTGAGAAAGATAACGATCTGGTTACCAAACGGATTCTTTCTGCAAGACTGCTAAAAATCAATGACTTGCAGAATGAAATAACTGAACTTCATATCCAGTTAGATGAGCTTACCAAAGAAAACAAGGCTTTGAAAAGGCTTCAGTATAGGCACGAGAAAGCCCTGAGTAAGTTTGAAGATACAGAAAACCAAGTGTCACAACTTCTGGCTTGCCATAACAATGAGATCACAGCACTCAAAGAACGCTTAAGAAAATCCCAAGAAAAAGAACGCGCAGCTGAGAAAAGGGTAAAAGAAACAGAGGATGAGCTACTCAGGACAAAATACTCCTTACAAAAACTGAAAAGAATATCCGAAGCTAGGCAATTACCTGAACGAGATGATTTGGCAAAGAAACTATTTTCAGCAGAGTTAAAATTAGATGACACAGAGAGAAAAATAAAGGTAAAGTTTCTTTAACTTTTGATTTTGCAGTTTTTCATCAGTTTTAATTGGTATCTAATATGCTTTGTTGAGACTGCTTATTGAAATACTTGCTTGGAAATGAAGTTTTGAATGTAATTTCATGAACAAGAGATTAGGAAAAATTTAATATGAGTAAAATGATAAAAGACTACATACCTGAAAGAACCACATATTAATATACATGTTCAATTCCATGTATCCTAGTCATTTTGCAGAAATTTATTATTGGATTGGATTTCTTTTCTAATATTGAAAATGATACTAAATGAAATTTATTATTGGATTGGATTTCTATTCTAATATTGAAAATGATATATACAAAACTGACACTTAGCCATTGTGTAAGAAATGCCACATGAACAATATTTTCTTATTTCTTTGCGCTTTGTGAAAGGTTTTTTTTTTTTTTTTTTTGCTTTTTTGGATCACACCCAGACATTGCACAGGGGTTACTTCTGGCTCTGCACTCAGGAATCACTCCTGGCGGTGCTCGGGGAACCATATGGGATGCTGGGAATCAAACTCAGGTCGGCCGTGTGCAAGGCAAACGCCCTACCCGCTGTGCTATCACTCCAGCCCCCAGTGAAAGGTATTTTTAAGGATAGGGTGCAACCCTGCTTTCCAAAATAAAATCTACTATGAGAGGTAGGTAGAAGAATGTTGAGAATACTAATCTGAAAGTACAACAGATATTAAAAACATTTTTTTCCTGAAATGAGAGAGGAAGAGTAATACAACATAATTTCACCTGTAATTACACAAGGTGCGATATAGTATGATAGTCAAATAGAATCTGAGCCAGAAGTTAAGGGGTTTTTTTATCTGACAGGTTGTCTGAAAAGCAATATGGGGTAAATGCATGAGCATAATGCCCACTGTGAAAGTTCTCTTTCAAGGGTAATTCAGAACTATAAATAAGCTTTCTGTGCTATATTGATTAGGTGTTTTTCAGTGCAGTTCAGAGGGTCCCTGATGATATGTAGCTAACCTGGTGGTGGTTCATTGCTAGGGTTACTCTATCAGTGCTTGGGGGTCCTGCAGGGCCACACGTGGCAGTGCTGGGGAGATTCTGTGCTGCTGGGGTGGGGTTGACAGGGTGGGTGGTGGTGGGTGAACCTGGATTGGGTCACACTGGGCATTGCTCAGGGATTACGTTTGACCCCATCCTCAGGGATTAACAATTTCGTATGCTGCCTATGGACTGTATGTCTTCTCAGGAAAGTGTCTGTTCATATTCTCTCTCCATTTTTGGATGGGATCATTTTTGTTGTTATTGCTAAGCTTTATGAGTGCTTTATATATATTGGATATTAGTCTTTTATCTGATATATAGTATATAAATATTTTCTCTCATTCAGTTTGATTTTTTTAAATTCAATTTATTTAGAGAATATTTATGAGTTGAGTGCTCTGTAAATGTGTATTAAGTTCTTATCTAAATCGCCATTTTAGAGAAGAAAAAATACTAGATTTTTAGATCAAAAATTTTAGATAAAACTGTTTTCTTGTTTATTTTTTGTCTGGATGATCCATATATCTGTGTCCATGGCTGTTATTGGGGTGTTGAAATCTCTTACTGTTATTGTGGTATTGTCAGTGTCTTCCTTTTAGTCTGTTAATGTTTGCTGTATAATTCTGTTGTGTTTGTGTTGGGTGCATACACGTTGCTAATTGTTATATCTTCCACTATGTAAAGCTTTTTTTTTGTCTCTTCTGTCTTTTCTGGCTGAATCTATTTTATATGAGAAGCATAGCTCTTCCTGCCTTTCAAAATTTTTCACTGGCTTGAAGAGTATTTTTTCCTCTCATTTTAAGCCTCATCTGGCCATTATAACTGAGTCTCTTTATAAGAAGTAAATGGTTGGTTTTGTTTTTTAATCCATTCCACCACTATAGACCTTTTGGTTAATGAGTTAAATTGCACAAGCCTGTGTATGTGTGTGTGTGTGTGTGTGTGTGTGTGTGTGAGAGAGAGAGAGAGAGAGAGAGAGAGAGAGAGAGAGAGAGAGAGAGAGAGAGAGACTGTTTAACTGTTTTTGTTTAAGAGTTGCTTTAAACATTTATCATTAGTTTCCTGGTTATGTTTATTGATTTGTTTTGTTTAAGTAAGAATTGCTTTTAACGTTCTTGTAAAAGACATGAACCCCTCGCCTTTTGTCTGTGAAAGCGTTTCTGTCTCATACCTGAGAGTTTTGCCAGACAGAATATTCTTGGCTGTCTTTTTTTTTTTTTTTGAGTATTTTAAACAACATGCTACTCTACTGGTTTCTACAGTTGTGAGTCTGCTGATGACCTGATGGGAGTACTTTTATTAGTCACCTGCTCTTTGGGAGGGTGTGAGGGAGTCTTCTAAGCGTTGCTTTTGGGGTCTCCACTCTTGGTGGTTCTGTCAACTGAGCCAGATGATAGTTCTATGCAGGGTCTAAGGATGTATTGCTGCTTGGGCCTTGAGGTGCGGGTGATGACCGGGGTTGCCTAGATGGTCCTCTCGGACCATGGGATGCTAGGGATAGAAGTGAGGTAGGACACATGCAGGGCATAAATTTCTTTATTATGGTCCTTCTGCTCCCTGTCTTTTTTTTAGTATCTTAAACTATAAATAATTTCACTTCTGTGTTTTAATATAGGTATCTTTGCATTTAGATAATCAAGTGTTCTATTAGCTTCCTAGACTTATATATGAAACTCCTCCTGTGTTTTTTTCACCAATGGCACACCAATTAAGATCACTGTTATCCCTTTTAATGCATTTTGTGATGGTTTTTGATGTGTATTCAGTGATTCAGCCTCACCAGCACGCTGTGAGGTTATCATTATTATTATCATTATCACGCTCTGATAATGTTAGTTTATAAAAACACTTAATTTTCTTGGTGAAGCTAGCCTCCAAATTTACCATGTTTAGAGGATTTATTGTCATTTAATTCATAGATATCAAACATGTTCAAGGTTTTATCTTTCTGATAAATTTTTCTTTTTATCATTCAGTAATAATTTGGGAGCTTCTGGGGCCACAGCTAGCAACATTCAGGGCTTAACTCCTGACTTTGTGCTCAGGGATCACTTCTGGTGGTATTCTGGGGACCATATGCTACATATGGAACCAGGGATGACTATGTGCAGGACAGGCATTTTAACCCCAATGCTCTCTCCAGCCCCAAGCAGTAACTTTGTACTTCTTCTTAAAATTGTTTTTATCTTAAAGGCTATTCCATCGGCACTAGTTTTCTTTCTGTTAGTATTTTTCCCTAATTTTTCTTCTTTTACAGTCATTTCACGTGTGTATTGATGTTTCATCTGTGCTTGTGCAAATGGTTGGCATATTTTCCCCAGGGGCCAAGGAGATAGCTGAAGTGGAGTGCACATGGCTGCTATCCTAGGATCCTGCATCTGACCCCCCAGTACTGAGTTTCCTTCCTTCCAGAACACCTGAGGCTCCCTAGGGGCCCCACTGACATCCAGTGGGGATGACCAAAAATGAAAGAAAACCAAAAAATTAATCCGATGTAAGAATATAGGGCTACACCAGGTAGAGCTGGGGAGAGTTCACACCAATAAGTATCTAGTGGTCACTCGGAGCCATGCACACGAAGGCTTGTATACTGTGCCTTTGAGCTGGGTTTCTAACCCACATAAATACTTTTGAAGAATATGGCCCCCATCCATTTTCATTTGATAGGTTGCTCTCCTAAAACATCAGAGAAAATTGTATTTCTCTGTTATTTTATTGTTGTTAGACTGAGGTTTTTGCATTTTTGAAAGAAATCTGAATTAGGTGACAGTTCCTTGAAATACAACATCTGGGGCCGAAGAGATACATTGGGTAAGGTGCATGCCTTGCATGAGGTCAATCCAATTCAATCCTGGCATTTCATGTGATTCCTTGAGCCTGCCAAGAGTGACCAGTGAGTACAGAGCCTGGAGTAAACCCTGAGCACCACCAGATATGCACCCCCACCCCCATCCCCAAGACCAGAAAAAAAAGTTGTCATGTGTGTTGGCCCAGAATGTTCATTTGTTGATTGTTGCTGTTTACTGTTAATTTTGATCACTTGGCCAAAATGTTACTCAATTTGTCCACTGTGTATGCTCACTATATAATAATTGTTTTTTTCTTTTCAGGAAAACCAATAAGCAGTTTATGGTAATCGTTTAAACAATATGTAAATATTGTCTTCCTCATCAGAACTGAATATATTTTTCTGATACTGGAAATAAAAATTGGCCAATCTTTTCTGAACCCATTTTTATCATGATCTTTATTTTTGTTTTGTTTTTATTGGGCCACACCTGACAATGCTCAGGGATTACTTCTGGCTCTGCACTCAGGAACTACTCCGAGCAGTGTTCAGGGGACCATATGGGATGCCAGGGGTTGAACCTGGGTCAGCCTTATGCAAGGCAAGCGCCTTACCCACTGTACTATCAATGTATTGCCCCTTTTTTCTGACTCTCTTTTCTTGCATCAGTTCTGGAAAACTCCTAGCATTTTTTTAAATGTTTTGGTTCTCTCTCTGTTCCCCCCACCACACCATCCCTCTTCTCTCTCTCATTTTTGAGTCACACCTGGCTGTGCTCATGGCTTACTTCTGGCTCTGAGCTCAGGGATCACTCACTTCATGGTGGGGCACAGGGGGCCATCTGGGGTGCTTGGAGATCAAAGGCAGGTTGATTGTTTGCAAGTAACGTTCATATCTACTGTACTCTCTCACGGGTCCTGTTTTGAGTTTTATTATTGCTTTTTCTCTCTTTTGTGATGACTACCTTTTAAATTCCTATTACACTAAATAAAAACAGTTCATAAAGTATATGGAATGCATAGTAAGCATAAAAATTATTGCAGTGTTTCCAGAAGGCATTTGGCAATGCTTCTAAAAAAAAATCTTAAGTTGTACAAATTATCGGTTAACCTAGGAGCTTCACTTACCACTTAACCGGAGAATATAATAAAAGATAAGGGTGAAGTTATATCGACATAGAAAAATTAGAATAACCCTTATTTTGATCAGTTGAATTTGGTTAAAATTATGATAATCTCGACATAGAAAAATTAGAATAACCCTTATTTTGATCAGTTGAATTTGGTTAAAATTATGATAATCTAGCAAATAATACTATTCTGTTAAACATTGTCCACTTGATCTGCTCATCATGGAAATTAACACTATCCTCCCTGCCTCTCAGCAGATTTGTGGAATTTAGAGGTAGTTCTTTGCAGTTCAGAGGAAAGTGAAAGTGATCTCCACCTGAAGAATCGCTTTCTTTGTCAGAGAAAGAAATCAAGGACAAATCAGTGTGGATAATAGTAGAGATATTTATTAAAGAAATAATACATAGCCTAGATTGGGTGTGGGCACTGTCAAGGGAGATCACACGCTGGGCCCTGAGACATGGGTTTTTAAAGAGCTGGTAGGAGGTTGAGCCTGAGTCCCCGATTGGGATGATGTTAAAATTATGCATCTAAGGACCAAATGCTTGTTCGTTCATTGAGTGTAATACTAGCACTTAATTATGCAGCTAGGGGCATGCAAGTTAATATGTGTTTTATGCTTAATGAGGAGGAAAATAAAATAGGATAAGGATCCTGTCTACCAAGCATGTCCCAGAAGCTAGCTAGAACTGGTTCTCTAAATTCTCTTGGTCAGGAAGTTTGTAACCACAGGCTGTCTGAATTGGACTCTCAAGGCTTATTTGTTGTTCTTTATCCACATGAGATAGGGTCATCCCCCAGACTCCTTTTCAGTACCTTTTTTTGTAGTTTTCCCACACCGCCTCTCTACAATGACAGACTTAAACCCTTCTTGTTTTTATTCTTTGTGAGTTTATGTTTAACATTACTTGAAATATAATATGTAAAAGTTTTTATGCCATACAAAAATTAGGAGGAATCTTGACAGCAAAAATTTTATTTATTTTATCTTATTTGGGTTTGGGGCCCTACCTGGTAATGCTCAAAGGCTTACTTCTGGCTCTGAGCTCAGAGATTACTCCTGGCAGTGCTCGCGGGACCATCTGTGTTGCTGGGGATCAAGCCCAGGTCAACTGTGTGCAAGGCAAACACCCTACCCACTGTCCTGTCACTCCAGCCTTGACCATTATTTTAAAAGAAAATGTTTGTAACTCAAATTCATAAATTACATGTTTGAAGTCCATGAAAAATGACTATTTTTTACTTAGAAATGAAATAATCTATTGTAAATAAGTGCTGTGTAAACAATAAGTGCTATATAATTTTGGGCATCTTAGTATCACTTTGCCATCAATGATTCCCAAAATCCAGTGTTCCTCATAATGTCTTTCGAAGACTTTGCTTCCAAATTCATTGTCTATGTATGCTTCAGACAAATGTTCAATCATCATATTTACAGATTATTATGTAAAAGGAAGATAAATAATGTGCTTGTTGCCTTATTAAGTGGTTGGTAAATCTGTTTCTTAGTTTATATTCCCAGACTCTAAGTCTCATCTGATTTGTATTTCCTGCACAGCACCAAAACATTGTTCTGATGCCATGTACATTGTTTTGCTGAGTTATTTTTTAAATTCTATATGTGTTTTGTACATATTGTAGGAACTGACAAAAAATCTTGAGTTAAGTAATAGTAGTTTCCAACGACAATTGCTTGCTGAAAGGAAAAAAGCATGTGAAGTTCATGATGAAAATAAAATCCTTCAAAGGGAGTTGCAACAGCTACATACCAAGTTAAAGGTATGCACTTTAGTGTAAATTGCATTGCTTTTCCCTGTTTGTATGAAATAAAAATGTAATTTAAAAGTTACTATTTGTATTTGTAAGTTAGTATAGTATAATTTATGAAATTCTAATACTATATATTTCAAAAAGACAGTATAATCACTATAAAAAAACACTGTCCTCCTGCTGTTCATCGATTTGCGCGAGCGGGCCCAGTAATGTCTCCATTGTGAGACTTGTTGCTACTGTGTCTGGCATATCGAATACGTCACGGGGAGCTTGCCAGGCTCTGCTGTGCGGGCGAGATACTCTTGGTAGCTTGCCAGGCTCTCAGAGAAGGGCAGAGGAATCGAACCGCAAGGCAAACGCCCTACGGAATCACTGTAAAATGTATCAAAAAGAAATGCTGAAAATACTAATAGGAATGGTATGACGATAATAACCTATAAAATTCTGAATGAAAAGTATGGGAAATAGAGCCTTTTAGTGCTGCATTGTTGAGGACTTCCCAGCAGCAGTGCTCAGACTTGGTTTATCCTGGCAGTGCTGGGGCACCTTGAGCCTTCTGGTCCTTCTCTATGCAGAGCTGGCACACAATGTTTTTATCTATCTCACTAGTCCTTCCCTAGACTCGTTTTTGAAATTGTTTCAGTTCTTTTCATTTTAGAGTAAAGAGGAAGCACTTAAGTTATGTGATTTTGTTAAAGTAGGTCTATTTTTCTTTTTTTTTCTGTTTTGGAGCCATTCCATACCACTGTTGCTCAGGGGCTACTCTTTGCTCAGTACTCAGGGGTTGCTTCCAGCCGCGTTCAGGTGACCAGATGAGCTGGGGACTGAATGTGGCCCTCTTCCTGCATGCAAACCAGGTGCTCCAGCTCATCAATGTATATCCCAAACCAATGTAGATATTCTTAATTCTACTCAGAGGTCCCTAATAGGTTGAAATTTTGTGCAGAACTGAGTACATTATCTTGCAGAGAGTTTTTATTTTGTAATTTAGGTTCTCCAAGAAAGCATAAGCTCTTAAAAATGGTCAAGAAAAATTGTATTTAAAAGAATGGTTTAATTTTTAACTCAGTTGACAATTCAGCACCTATACTTAAAAGTTAATTAGCTAAATTCCTTTTCTCTGACTAACCTGAAAGACCATTGAACTCAGTGTTAGCTCTATTGTAGTATTTGTTAAAAGTGAATTTTACAATTATTTGCCCTTTTGCTTTTCTTGATTGTCAGCACATATTGAACTTTTAAGAAATGAATTGTTTTAGCCTAACTTTAGTCTCCTAAAGGCAACATTTCTGTATTTACAAAGAGAAGCTAATCCAGGTCTAGGTCTATTTCAGTATGATAAGGAAAATTCCATCCACCAAGGTGAAAGGTTTTGCTTGTTTTAAACATTATTAATTATATTGCATTTGTTTTCAGGAAAAGGAGAGAGAACTGGATATAAGGAATATCTATTCTAATCGTTTACCAAAGTCCTCTCCGAAGAAAGAAAAAGAAATTCTATCAAGAAAAAATGGTATAGTAACTATAATTGTTAAAAAATATTAATTTGTTATTACTAATCACTAATAAAATTAATGTGAATTAGGAGAAACGCCAGGGGTAAAGAACTTTTAAGATATAAATGTTCTTGAACACTGGTGGAGGTGTGTGGTGCTAGTTTTGTATGCATGAAACTCGACCATTAGCAGTTTTGTAAATCAGTGTCTCAAATAAAAAAAGAAAAAAATGATGAAAATGAGCATTAATTTCCTTATAGTTAATTTTCAGATCCTTTTACATTTTTTAACTTGTCTTCAAACTATATTTTAGACAATTTAAAAAAAAACCTTTCTTTCGTAATTTAAGTGTTTATTATTTATTTATTTTGGGGGACTCCCATAGGCAATTATTGGCCAGCTGTATTGGCCAGTTTGTGCAAAGGCAGGAGGATGAGGTGCTGCCTGGGCCTGATACTCAGCCACCCTGGCAGTGCTGGGGGCCTCCAGGGTCCTGCTCAACAGTTCACAGAACTGTGGTGCCAGAACTGATACAAGCGGTGATCCAGAGTTCCTATTCAGAGACAGTACCAGACTAGTTCTTATGACTCGACTGACGCCTGGCAGCCAGATACCTGGGAGAATTTCTTAAATGCTTGCAAGATCCGTCTTGTGACTAGTGCTCAGACCTGTGCACCTTGATGATAGTGGGATTCGTGGTCACCAGTGCCCCATAGCTGCTACAGCACCAAGGTCTAGCTGGCCTGGGCAGTCGCCCAGTGTTCACCACTGCCGGTGTCTGGCAGCTGACTTGGACTGTGACTGAAGATTGTGATCGTGTTTACCCTTTATATGCTACTCGACAGGCTGATCTTTGCAGTTCAGGGGGAGTTTTGCATTTGCTAGCACCCATTTGGGGGTGGATCCTCCAAATAACGGTTTCAAGGGGCAATGCTTCACCCCTGGGATGTCTGCTCACTGTTGCAGCTTCTGGCATGGCAGCTCCCAATTGCTTTGTCAGGAACGACCGCTCCCAGCTATAACCTGGGAACAGTGTGCCCTGTCTGTGTATTGCCAGTTTTCACTCTTTCCGACACGATGGGCATAGGCACAAAGCTGAACTTTTTTAGATTTTTTTTTTTATGCATGGTGTCCTCCACTTTAGGTTGGAGATTGTCTAATGCACTCATTTCCAGAGTCACTGCCACTGTCACTGTCCTCCCGTTGTTCATCGATTTGCTCAAGCAGGCCCGGTAACATCTCCATTGTGACAATTGTTACTGTGTTTGGCGGAGTATTTCCTTTAACTCTGAGTTCACTGCAACTGTAAGGCTGCTAGACGGTGCAGCATGTATGACCAAAGACTTGGGCCTCTCTGGGTAATGCAAGACTGTGAGCCTGTTAGGGAGTAATTGGCTGGGACCCAGCTGGGATGTCTTAACCTCCAGAATTGCTGCTCCACTCTCAGCCACATGCAGTCACACATACCCCCCTTCCCCCAGCCCCGCTTCCCCCCATCTGTTGAGTTTAGTAAGTTCTGAGACATGGTGACTCTTGAGTCCCACTGTAAGCTGAAGTCTGGGAAATGCGTACGTGCTCAGCCCTGTAACTCGTGTCTCCCTCCTAGGGTTGGTTTTCCTGGCCTTGTCAGGAGTGGCAGCCCTCTGTGGTATGCTTGCCCAGGACCCTGGTCTCTTTTCAGTTTGGTGAGTGCCAGTATAAAGCTGGTGTTCTGGGCCAGAGTGATAGTACAGCGGGGAGAGTGTGTGCCTTGCAAGCGGCCGACCTGGGTTCAATCCCCAGCATCCCATATGGTCCCCTAAGTACCACCGGGAGTAATTCCCGAGTGAAGAGCCAGGAGGAACCCCTGAGCATTGCTGGGTGTGACCCCAAGAGCAAAAAAAACAAAAACCCAAAACAGACCTGCTGTCCTGTGAGCCTTTGGTATTCGGCGCCCTCATCTCCCACATTGGTGTTTTCTGTCTTGTACTGGCTTGTGAGACTTCTTGGTCCCTTTTCTTTCAGTCCCAGCTTGTCCCTTCCCCTTACACAAGCGGTGTGCTCTTCGGTCTGGACTTACCTGTGGCTCTGCCTTCTGTGGAACTGAGTTTCCCTCAGATGCAGGCTCTTCACTGAATTTTCTCAGGGAGAGCCCTCACCTGGTGTTGTGTTCTGTTCAGTTTTATTTGTTTTTTATGTTGCGGCCACAGGAGTTCTCACAGAACTGTTCCTGCACATCCATCTTGGACCTCCCCTCCTTTATTTAATTTTTTAAACTTTTATGAAAATATGTAAACATACCCTAAACAAGAGAGGACATGTATCACCTACTCTTAAAAAATTACACATTTTATCTAATGTTATCCATCTTTTAAACCTTCTTTTCCAAAGTGTCTCATTAGCAAATCCCTGATGCTCACTCTAAAATATTTTATTATTGTAATGAGTCTTAATTTGAAAATTATAATTTTCATTATATAATTTTTATGATAATTGAATTGTAAACATTCTGAACACAAACTTTGTTTAAAGCTAAGAAGATGTGGGCCAGAGAGGAAAACACAGCAGGTAGGGTGCGTGCCTTACATGAGACTGATCCAGATTTGATCCCTGCCACCTGATTAGTCACTTGAGTCCCACCAGTAGTGACCCCTGACTGGAGAGCCAGAAGTATGCCCGGTATGGCAAACCCACCACCCCAATAAAGTGAAGAAGATTTACCCATGAGTATTGTCCTCAAAATATATTATTTGCTGGTAAATCTAGGCCAGAACTAGAAACAGTGAGAAATTGGGAAGATGAGCAAAACTTGTATCATCTCGTTTAGATGGTGAATTTATTATGGATTTATCCCATAGATATTAGGTAGGTACTGTTCAATATGATTAGAAACATTCTTTTATAATTTTTATGGTAGCTGCATGCCAGGTTGATTTTATGACCGAATGTACAAAAGGAGTACAAACCAGTGAAGACTTCAAAATGGAAGAAGTTTTTGTACTGCCACAGACAGTTACATGTAATGAACATAGATCACAAGATCCTGAGCATCTTAAATGGGTGAGTTTAGCCATTTGATTGATTGGGTATAAGACTTGTTTTAAAGTTATTCTAAAAACATCATGGTATCAAACATTTTAAAAGTTCAGCAATGGAATTAGTACTCTAGCTTGTCTAAGGAAGAACTAGCATTTTTAAAAGAAAGGGATAACGTTTGTGGATTTACTAAGTTCATATTTTATATTTCAGATGCTTCAGAAAGGCAAATTGTATCTATAAACAGGAGATAGATGAGAAGAAAAAATTCATCAGTATCTTTTATGTGTCTAGGTAGCTTCTAAGACTCCTCACTTTTTATGTTTACTCATAAATGAAATAGTTTAAAATTGGTTAGAATTGGACTGTTTTTAACTTTTAAATCTGAACTAGAGAAGAATATTTTGCATTATAAATAAATCCCAACCAACGTAATTTTAGTGCTGTCTGACTTTGTGCCATTCAAATCAGAGTGGAATTCTGAGAGTCTTATGATTGACTTTTTAAGTTTTTTTTTTTTCTTTTTTGGGTCATACCCGGCGATGCACAGGGGTTACTCCTGTCTCATGCACTCAGGAATTTCTCCTGGAGGTGCTCAGGGGGACCTTATGGGATGCTGGGGATTGAACCCCGATCAGCTGATGCAAGGCAAACTCCCTACCTGCTGTGCTATTGCTCCAGCCCCTGATCAACTTGTATTTAAAAAAACATATTCAGTACTGGAAGATCTTTTTCTCTAAGGGAATTTATCTTTGGTGTTTACCATTTAAACTGTAAGGGGAAAAAAAAGCAACAACAAAAACCCAAAAGAAATATATAACCTACACAATATACTAGTAATCTAGCATATATAATGTTAACCTTTGTGTCTTTTCCGTTTTCAAGTGATCCTGAGAATCTTTTGCATGTGTGTGATGTAAGAAAGAAAGAATGAACTGATATGGTTCCTGTGTGTATTCTAGTTTTTAATTTTTATTCCATTTAGACAAGTTAGCAAAGTGAGTCTCTTCTTATATTTGCACTGTAATTGAGACTAGTCCATGTTGATTTGTCTTTTGGAAAATCAAAATGTAGAGAACAGCATTTTTTTGACTTTTTGGGACACGCCTGGCAATGCTCAGGGGTTACTCCTGATTCTGCGCTCAGGAATTACTCCTGGCAGTACGCAGGGGACCATATGGGATGCTGGGGATTGAATCCAGGCCGGCTGCTTGCAAGGCAAATGTCCTAACCACTGTACTATAAGTCTGTATCCAAGAACAGCATTCTTAAGTACCCAAGTACCCAAGAACAGCATTCTGAAGAGGCTAAAAAGTTGGTTTTAATTATTTTACCTTTAAGGAGAAGGAACAGCAACCTGATAGAGTGAAAAGAATGTAACACTGGACTTAGCACATCTTTTTAATTACATAGTGACTTCTTGGAATCTCAGTTTCTTAATCTATAAAATTGGAGCTGAGGGGATGTTCTCTTTCAGAGTTTTGTAGTAATAATTAGGAAGAAGGTCTCCTGTCAGTGGTAGCTATATTAAACTACATGGTAAGTTGCTATTGGGAAGAGTTCTGACTAACAATGACTTAAGCAGATACATACCTCTTTCTTTTGTAATAGACTGAAAATCAGTGAAGAGTTCATTATATTATCAATTTGCATAGTTTATCAATAGGCACAGTTTTACTTAGTGAATTTTTTTTTTTTTTTTGGATAGTAGTCTGGGCTGGAGCGATAGCACAGTGGGTAGGGCGTTTGCCTTACAAGCGGCCAACATGGCCAACCCGAGTTCGATTCCTCCGCCCCTCTCGGAGAGCCCGGCAAGCTACTGAGAGTATTTGATATGCCAGACACAGTAACAACAAAAGTCTCCAATGGAGACGTTACTGGGCCCGCTCGAGCAAATCGACGATCAACGGGAGGGCCTTTACCTTACCTTTAGTCTTTTAAGAGGTTCCTGGAGGCCGTTCCTGGAACGACCTGGACTCATGCTATTTTGGTCCGGTGGTATTGGAGAACCAAAGTCACCCCAGCAGGTCAGGGTAGTGGAGGATGGACACCATGCAGTGACATAGATCCAACCATGGTAAAGTGCATGCAGTGCTCTCCTCATCCCCTTGCAGTTTCCCTGGCCCCAAGGCAGAGCTTTTTGGTAGTTGTCCTCTTCTCTTCTTGCTCCGTCATTTTTAGAGAGGATCATCCTCCCTGTCATTGGAACTGGCTCCCCATACTGTGAGATCATGGTCATCATGCTTTTGATTTTAGAAATTTGGGCAGAAGTTGTACCCAAGTACCCAAGAACAGCATTCTGAAGAGGCTAGGTCTAGTTAATGGGGATGCTAGCAAATTCAGTGTCTAGTTGAACATCCCACTTTCCTTCAAAAACTTGGTTTTTTTATAACAGAAAGGAAAAAAGAGGGGAATGACTAAGAAGAGGGGTGTGAACAGTTCTCTGTATCACAGGTGTACTAATAAAAGGTATTTGATTTTTAGTAAGAAAAGTCATGCATTTTTGAGAGGAATCATAAAAAACAAGGAATATTGACTTGACTTCTACTGTGGCGACATGTTCTATACATTCTTCTTTAAAATTTTAACTAAAGCACAAAGAGCCCTGTGTATTTTGAAGCTTCTTTCAAAGAATAGTTACTTGTGACTTCACAGCTTTATTAGCTGAAAATCTGATTTCATGTTCAACCCTAAATGGTAGTCTTGCTTAATGGGAGATACAATATTTAAATACAATAATTTCCTCTCTTTCTGCATGTGAACTTGCATCTGCGAAAAAGAATCTGGTATGTCAAGAGACTGATGAATATGACAGAGCAGGGGTTGGAAACGCAGTGATGGAGAGAGAAGAACATCTCATTAGAGGTCAGGAACATCATACGAAGCAGAACTTTGTGAAGCAAGAGAATGGTAAGAAAGTTGGCTTCAGCAAGTACTGAGTTGGCAACCTCATATTTCATCTAGCTGAACTTTGAACTGGTTGTCCAGAAAAAGAAATGTTGGTACATTTGGTAGTAGTGGTCTCTCATAACTCCCAGACATTTAAATGAAGTTAGGAAAGAAAAAAAAATGAAGGCAATTGGTTGCTTTTTTGTGTTAGAGAAAATTCAGATGAGGTAGAAGAAAATGGTTCTTTATGTATTTTCTGAAGCGTGACAAAGAGGTAAGTGAAGAACTTCATTAGCTTGACTTTGAAACAAGTCTCTAGAAAAACTCAGCTATCAAAAAAAGCAGTGACTTGGGAGGTTCTGAACGTATCCTTAGGTTTTTTTTTTAGTTTAAATATGTAGAGTGAATTATAACTGTAAAATAAACAAAACTCGTTTTTGAGTTTAGAATCTTAGAAATAAATTCATTTCCATTTAGATATAGGTGAGAGGTAACTCAGACTGATCCTTTGAATGTATTTTATTGATTATATTATAGCTTCCTAAATGGAAATCTTTTTTTTTCTTAAAAGTAGTGGAACAATGACCTAATTGTTGTTTAAATTTGCATATGTTTGTTTGTGTTTGTGTGTCTTCTTAAACAATACAACAGTTGAAATTGAAGCTTTATTTATATCACAGTTGGTGAATACACAGAGATAGATGTTACATTGCTAACTATTGAACAGAATATTAGAAATTCTGGTTAGTTGTACAAGGAAAAGAGACTAGCAGACCATCACATCACTTGTCCTTTTTTGACTCAATTTTTTCCTCTTTAAAGTCTAGGTAGTTATATATGATTATTATCGAGAATGTGTCTCATTTACTGACATTACAAGATTTGTAATGTTCTTACTTATATTTTAATTTTCACAATATTTAGTATTAAATGTTTTTCATTTGGATATAATTACAAAATTACAGCAAAGTAGGCAATAATAACTAACAAATTATTAAAGTATGTTGTAAACCTCATTTTTATATCCTAAAATATTTTCATGTGTATTATTCCAAAACAAAATTATTTTCTTGCATCATTCCAGTATAGCTATAATATAGCACATTTTATATCTTTATTATGTCCTTATTAGTCTTTTAATTAGCACAGAGCAAATGATAAATGTCATTGTCTTTTATACATTTTTCTCCCTCTAGGATACTTTCTTCAGTCTCCTTTAATCTGAAACAGCTTCTCATTAAAAAAATATTTTGTGAGTTAATATTTTTAACAAATACCCAATTTTTAAAAAACAGAATTATTAAAGGTTTGTTAGATTTTCTCAGTTATAGTCAGAGTAATACCTCTCTAGTCAATAATACATTTGTGGGGTCCAGGAGACAGCTTAGGAATCAAGACCCAAAATTCAGTTCCTAGCACAAAATGGTCTCTTGAGTTCCACTGGATGTAGCCCTGGTGACCCTCAGCATTGCTGGGCCTAGCTCAGTTGACTGAGTGTTGTCAGAAATGGCCCCTGGGCTCAGGGCTGGAGCGATAGCACAGCGGGTAGGGCATTTGCCTTGCACATTGCTGACCCGGGTTCGATTCCCAGCATCCCATATGGTCCCCCAGCACCGCAGGAGTAATTCCTCAATGCAGAGGCAGGAGTAACCCCTGTGTGTTGCCGGGGTGTGACCCAAAAAGCAAAAAAAAAAGACACATGGGCTTCTGATCATGCTTAGAAGAGCTCATCACACACACACACACACACACACACACACACACACACACACACACACAAAGTGATAAGTGATAATATTCAGACTATGACATCCTCTAGAGACCAAGGTGGAGTAAATGATGTCTTTACCCCATCTATCCTGTTATCCTCCAAGCAGTGTGCAGCAGTACAATTTTACGTATAAAAATAAGGAACCTTTCCCACCCCAGTAGCACTGTAGCACTGTCCTACCATTGTTCATCAGTGTGCTCGAGTGGGCACCAGTAACGTCTCCATTGTGAGACTTGTTGTGACTGTTTTTGGCATATCGGAAACACAGGGAGCTTGCCAGGCTCTGCCATGTGGGCGGTATACTGTCGGGAGCTTGCCGGGATCTCTGATCTGAGAGGAACGGAGGAATCGAACCCGGTCAGCCTCATGCAAGGCAAACGCCCTACCCGCTGTGCTATTGCTCCAGCTGTTTTATTTACACCCCTATATTTAAAAAATATTTAGAAATTTTGAGGAAGGAGAGGAGGGGAGAAGGGAGAGGTGAGGGGAGAGGAGAGAGAAGAGAGGAAGAGAGTGAGCTTGATACTCAAGATAGCATGCAGGCTTCTTCTCCTAAGGTGGAGAGAGCTGTAGTACAAATCCCAGTGTTGAAATATGAAAGCACATATCTCAAGAAGGGAGTTGGGATATGCAGGCAGTATTTGCGTGTGGGCACCATATGGCAACAACATGTGTGTCACCCAATTTTTATTTAATGAACTCCCAGGATATGAAGTATAAAAAATGAAACTACGATGTGCCTTTGATTTATAAACCAGATATTGACTATTGTATTTAAAGGTTTTCCTATGTAGAAATATTAACGTATGTTTAATTTTACAATCTGACTTTATGCAGACTGGGAAAGAGAAAAATCTGTTAAAAACCACAGAGAAAACACACTTTTATTGGAAAGAGGAGAAAAGGCAGCATTGGAAGCTGTAAGATGCCAAACAGATATGTACTACATTCAAAATACTGAAGAGGAAGAGGAAGAAAGACAGAAGAGAAAAATCCTAATTGCTAAGCTAAATGAAATTGATCGAGAGCGCCAAGATATCCAGGATCCCAGCTGCGCTCCTCTGCCACTGCTACCTGATTTAAAATCAAAATTGGACTCCTCAGAAAGTACTCCCACTAAATACACGTCTTCTGAATCTGAGAGATTTTTTAATGGGCGTCATATGCAAGGCATCCGTCTTTTAACTGCCCAAGATGATCAGGATGCAGGAAATATTACAAGGCAAGCCTCTCCAACTGAGTTTTCATTTGGCAGTTATGTGCCTTCATTTGCAAAAACATCAGAGAAGCCAAGTCCAGTTAGCCAGAAGAATAGCCTTTCGGAATTCCAAAAAGACACTACAGAGAAACTTAGTCAAGATGATGTAGATCTGATGTCAAGAAGAGAGAGGAAAGCGAATCTGATGGAACAACTGTTTGGAACCAGCAGCAGCAGCACGGTTTCATCAAAAAATGGTGAACCACATCATCAAAGCAAAGAGGACTTTGACCCTCTAAATTTTCTCCCAGCAGATAAAAGCAGTAAGGGGAGAGACCGCGATGAAGATGACTTTTTCTTCAACGAAGGAAGAAGATTTACTCCAAGTAGACATAGGTTAACCCATGAAAACCATAAACCTGCGGTAAAAGTCGTTGATTCTGTAGAAGATGAAATTGAAGAAGTAATACTGAGATGACTGATTAAGTATAAATATTTTTCCAATTGTACAGATTAAAATATTTTAATATGATATTTTTATAAACATTTAGACTTACAAACATTTGAGTTTTAATACTAAAAGTTCCTATAAGGAATTATTTTAATAAATATATTAAAATATAAAGTAGATCATATTTACTAGATTGCCAAGAGTGAAGGATGTGTTTTTGAATGAAACTGAAATTAGAAATATATCTTACTTGGTTTATGCTTATTTATTATGCTTCTTTATTTATTTTTGATCATATTCTTCCTAATCTAAATACAGGTTTCCTGCTAATTGCTGAGTGGTAATTAAGATAAATTGTGTTGGATGTGTAATGGAGAACCAGTACTTTTTAGATACCTTATTCTGGGTGGTGGTGGTTGGGGTTGGGGAAGGTCCTTTCTTAAATGGCCCAGCTCTTTGAAATGAAAGCAGTGACAACATTTGAATTTCTCATTTCTTTGGAAGTAGCCACAGTTAAATGTTCCTCATTTAAAATCCCATTTACAGTCTTCGTAATCACTTACCTACCACTAACATACTAGGTTGCTGGCACATGAGGTTGAATTCAGTCGACATTTGTCTGTTTGCATAAGCAGATCAACTGTTGTGCCTCCGACAGGGTTGGGTAGACTTCTCTCCTTTATTCTCTTTCTGTCGTAGTGACTGGGTGCAGGATTTCTTACCAAGTACAAGAAATAGAGTAAATTTCTTCCATATAGATTTTTAGATGATTATATTTACAGAGTAAAGCAATCTGGAAATTTTAACATATACTTTTTTTTTTATATATATAATGTAGGAGTACTGCTATTTATCCAGCCATCGATTAAGCTGATTGATTTGGGCATGAACTCCACATTACTTTTTTTATTCAGAATGTTAATTTTTATTTTATTATTTTATTATTATTCTTTTCCCCCTCTTTTTACTGATTCACTGTGAGATACAGTCACAAAGCTGTCATGTTTGAGCTTTAGTCATGCAGTCATCAAACACCCATCCCTTCACCATTGCACATTTTCCACCACCAAAATCCCCAGTAATCCTCCAACCCCACACCGCCATTCCAGCCCTTCCCCTACCTGTGTGGCAGACGGTTCCCCCCATACTCTCTCTCTACTTCGTTTACATTCAATATTTTGACACCAGTCCCCCACCGCTTAAACCTGCCGAAAAGGCAATGCCAGACAATTTGTTTTGTATCGCTTGTTATGGGTAGAATATAATGTCCAGGAAATTCTGTGGATTCTCTTCCGGGGGCTTTAGTTTATAGATAGTCTCTGGGTCTTGGCCGTTGATGAGATCACATGGGTGCGGGCACAGTTTGTGGGTGTGACTGCCAAGCTACTGGAAAACTGGGGACCTGGGGACAGAAGGTCCAGTCCCGATCCAAGCGGGCTTGGCGATCTCAGTCACAGGTTCCCACATACCTGGGTTTTCCTGCCAGTCCGCTCTTGGGTGAGGTTCATCCTGTGTTGGGTGAGGCTCATCCCCTTTGGGTGAGGCTCATCTGAGTGTGTGGAGAGTGGCCTTGAGCATGGCAGCAGTTGGGTTCTGCAGGTTTTTGGCTGCCAGGGTTCTGTTTGGGACGGAAAGGGAAACTCAGTCCGTCCCCCTCGAGGTGCCCCAGTGAAGATAGCCTGGTGCAGGGTCAGGACATTCTGTGGTGCTCTCCCAGGAGCTTTAGTTTATGGTCTCTGGGTCTTGGCCATTTATGAGATTACATGGCGTGGGGGCAGTTTGTGGGTGCGACTGCCAAGCTACTAGAAAACTGGGGACCTGGGAGGAGGAGGCCCAGTCCAGATCTCAGTCACGGGTTCCCACTTACTGCTGTGCCACCAACCCTAACTGCGTCTTTTGATCTCTTTCGAGATTTTTGGGTCTCTGAAAATAAGGCCAATAAATGAGCTTGTATAGCTGAGCCGGAGGTGGTTTCCAGGTGTGACTCCCACATACCTAACTTTTGACCCTTTACTTTCTTGGTAAACTTGGCCCCAAGTTTTTGGGTCTGGCCAAAGTCACAGCAGCAATTTTGGGGCGTCTGGAAATCTGAAGGCACCATCAGGCTGCTGATGCACTTGCCCGGCAGGTATAGGTTGACCTGCTGGCAGTACCATACTCCCTTAATATATGTTTAAGATGTAAACTTACCATCAAAGAGTATAATATCCTATTTAACTTGTAGAATTAACTTTAAAGCATTGTTGCAAAAAGTGTTTCACAGATGGGGTGTTTGCCAGGCTGGGTAGGGTAGGTGAATTTTTGTTGAAATGCATTGCAATTTGCTGTTTGTAGCTCACTTTGGCTGCACGGGAGTTAATGATTATGTGAGATTAGTCTTTTAGAAGTAGTGGTACACCACCAGTCATGGAAACTAAACACGTAGAATGAAGAATGGTTGAAATAGCAAGTCAGAGGGAGAATGAAGAGATGTAGATTGGCACTTACTCTAAAATGAGCTGTTGTTTCAAGAATTTACAACACAAAATGTTGTGTTTACAACACCAAATGTTCATGGTATTTTTTTTATGCTAAGCATACATATCATTGAGGGGGATAAATTTTTTTTACTATTTCACTTGGCTTCTTATAAAGGCTTATTATTGAATATCATTTCAAAGATATTTGAAAAACTTATGTGGTTAGGTGGCTAGTTAAAATATATACCACCTATAATCTAAATTGTATTCCTATCATTTATTGGGAGCAGAATCTCCCTAAAGATCTAAAACTAAATGTTTTAAAGAAATTTTATGTCTGATACAAACAAGCATTTAGTATGTTGCACATCATTCTAATGTATGGGAAATAATATTATTGAAATGTAGTTCCTACTACAATAAAATTTTATGCAATGTTAATTTTGTTCATAGCTGCTAATTTTTCTGCTAAAAGAATTCTAATTTTAGGTATAAAAAATCTAGTGGAGTTTTATGTTTCGGTTATTTAAATTAATATCTTTGCTTTTTTCTATGAATATTTTATATATTTTGACCAGATGCCACAAGACATAATTATTAGAAGGTTAACTGAAGATTGACTTGTAAAGCTAGAAGCATTATTAAAGTTGGAGAGTAAATGTACAGAACAAGCTTTAGAGAATAAATCACTTTTTTTCTTAAATTGTAAAGTTAATTTTGTTTTTTTTTGTACTAGAACTTTTATTAATAAAGATCAAAATCAAAATTTTGCCTCTTTATTTGAATGATATCTAAGGTCACAAACTACATGGAAAAACAGCCTGCACGGATTAATTTGTATTTCATTCTTCCCTTTTTTCATTCTAGAATTTTTAGTTGAAATAAACGAATATTCTAAAACTAGATTAGATTGGATCTTACATTACCAGATTATTTTAGTTTTTATTCATTCATTCTTAACATTTCTCTCAGTCACATGATCTTGATCATATTAATACTGTGGGAGCTGAGGGGCCAGGCAGTAGCACCGTGAGTAGGGTGCTTGCCTTGCTGCCGCTGACTGGGATTCTATCCCCAGCACCCTATGTGGTCTCCCGAGCTCACCCAAATACACCTTAAAGAGATTCTTTTAGGAGATAGGTGGAATGACATATGGAGAGATTAAATGATATAAACTCACTGCTAAAAAGAAAATGAAGTCTAGGAAATATAAAACTTTATGATTGTATAATGTAAAAACGTGGACCTCAGTTCCCACAATGCCTGGGTCCTTGGATAAGGTACAAAACCTCTCTACTTTCTCCTTTACAAATCGAAACTATTAATCATAACAATTTATGGTGGATGAATACCTTAAATGAGCTTGATACATGTAAAATATTTCCAAAAACTTAGTGTTATTAGAACCAACTTTCTGTTACAAATAATAGTATATATTTAATATTACTATATAAAATTACTATAAAATTATAAAATTACTATATAAAATCAGATACAGTACACTTTTTTTTTAATGGAGAGAACAGGAAGAAAAGTACGTTTTGTTAAATATCAGACAGGGCATTGACACTTTTTTTTCCTTTTTGGATTGCACCTGGCAATGTTAGGGGTTACTCCTGGCTCTGCACTGAGGAATCACTCCTGACAGTGCTCCGGGGACCATATGGGATGCTGGGAATCGAACCCAGGTCAGCCGCGTGCAAGACAAACACCCTACCTGCTGCTATAGCTCCAGCTGTGGCATTGGCACTTCTGTGGGCTTTAGCTCAGGTAATCTTCACAAATTTTTAACTAAAAGTTTATTCTTCTTTACAGTTGAGGCTAATAGATGTATTTTAATACATAAATAATAGATCACACTGGTAGGAAATTGCATTCGATAAATGTTAGTAAATCCAAAAATATAGTAGAAAACTTTTTAAAAAAATTTTTATTAGTTAGTCAGAATCTGGAAAAAACCTGAGTGCCCGAGAACAGATGACTGGTTAAAGAAACTTTGGTATATTCACACAATGGAGTACTATGTAGCTGTTAGAAAAGATGAAGTTATGAAATTTACATACAAGTGGTACTACATGGAAAGTATCATGTTAAGCGAAATGGGTCAGAAAGAGCGGGATAGACACAGAAAGCTTGCATTCATCTGGGGAACATAAAGCAACAAAAAGGGAGACAAACACGCAGGAATGGCTGAGATTAGTACCAGGAATTTTGCTCCATGACTTGAAGGCCAGCCACATGTGCTAGGTGAAAAGGAAGCTCAGATAGAGAAGAGAGCACCAAATAAAGGGTGTTGTGAAGACCCTCCCAGGGTGGGAGAGACATGCTAAAAGTAGTCTATAGACCAAACATGATTGCCACTCAATGCCTCTCTTGCAAAACACAGTACCCAAAAGAAGAGAGAGAGAACAAGGGGGAATGCCCTTCCACAGTGGCAGGGTGGGACCGGGGGGGCATGGGGGTAGAAGGATGCTGGGACCCGTGGTGGGGGAGGATGGGCACTGGTGGAGGGATGGGTACTTGATCATTGTATAACTGAAACCCAAGCACAAAAATTTATGTCTATAACTACCTCATGGTGTTTCACTAATAAAAATAAATAAATAAATATAATAATAATAAAATAATAATAAATAAATAAAAGAAAAAAATTTTATTAGTGAAACACCATGAGGTACAGTTGTAGACTTACAAATTTTCATTCTTGGGTTTCAGTTATACGATGATCGAATACCCATCCCTCCACTGGTGCCCATTTTCTGCCACCACAGGTCCAAGTATCCCTCCCACCCCCCATCCCACCCATTCCACCCTACCTCCATG